TGTGTGTGTGTGTGTGTGTGTGTGTGTGTGTGTGTGTGTGTACGTGATGCATGGTTTGTTCTGTAAGATTCTGCACGCCTCTTAGTAGGGACCCTTCTCAGAGAAGGACCTGTGTTTTGCTCCCCTTTGGCCTTCTGATTATGTTTCTTTCACATGAAAACGGGCTCACAGGTAGAGCCAAAGAAGGGTTGGGTGGGGGCAGAGAGGTGGGGTGTGTCCTTTGGAATTTGATGATGGATCGCTGATGGCTGTGGGAAGAAACGTCCTGTTTACCATTGGTGAAAGGTTGATAGCCGGAATCCGTTCCCCAGCCTGCTCCCAGGAACGAGATCACTGCCTGTTTTAATGCCGCTCTGTTGTTTTGAAGATTCCGAGTCACCCAGACATTTTATACCGGCTGACTACTTGGACTCCACGGAGGATTTTATTCGAAGACGGCACGATGACAAAGAGGTAAATCCCATCTTTAGGAGCTCTGAGTGCTTCCTCGGCTAACAAGAAGGAAGGAAGGAAAGGTGTCAGAGGGTGCGAGGGCCTGGTGGGGAGAAGCATAGATCGGGTCTTCACTGAGACCTGAGCAGCACAGGCTCGGGCCCTCCTCTTCTGGTCTACCTGTGGAGAAAGTCAGACTGAGTGCCCCAAGGCACTGGCGTGGGAATGCAAAGTCCAGCCAGCACTGTTGCTTGGGGGATTCAGGAAGAGGCTGCCCCATTCATTCCGCTCAATGCTTTGGACACGAGAGTGGCATTTGCTCCACTCTTTCATTCTCTTCCTTCCCAGCCTTGGTGTTCCCTAGGGAAGCCCACCTACACTTTCCTCTAGTGCTTAAATGTGCAAGAATGCAGGAGGGAAAACAAAAAATAACATTTTTACAAAAACATTTTTGTCACCTTTTTTTTAACTGTACTGCTTTTAACTCAGAAGACAGAAGATAACCCAGTAAAAGTTGGTGGACACCAGCCAGGAACGTTTAAATGCAGCTACTGAATTTGAAGCTACTGAAATGCCTGTGTGCTGGTGATGTGGTACACGGGGCAGGGAGTGGAGCCTGTTCTCTCAGGGACCTGGCAAGACGTGGCTTTACGTCAGAATGGGCACAGTCCAGGCTCTGGTCACCAGGCGTTGATAGGATGAGTGCTTTCTGGACTTTGCATTCCCCAGGCCTGTAAGCGCCAACCACGGCCCGATGTCCATATTCCCGTAATCAGTTGAGAGACGGAAGAATTCCACGGCTCCCTGTGGCAGTTGGGGAAGGACGCGTACACCCCTCTAAAACCTGTTCCTTTTCCTTTGAATTCTGAAGTCCTTTTTTGGTGTGTGCTACTGGTCTGATGAGTGGGCTTTCCTTTGGGGAATTACCGTAATGCTGACTTTGAGGAGCACCGAGTGATAATAATCATGGCTGCCAGATGATGAGCCGAAAGCCAAAAATTAATGGCCAAGCCTCTTTCCCCTTGCCTGGCACAATCCAGACAGTACTCAATAAGATCCTTGGACCTGTCTGTGGAAAGAAACAAGAGGAAACATTGCACGTACAGAATTATTTCCAGTCAAGACCAGAAACTCATAGTGGGCACCCATCAGGCCATAGAATCAAGTCATTAATTTAGCTCTTCGCTGTTGTCACGATCTAAGATTCTGTGAATAAAGATGAAGTTCCATGATCTGAGTATAAACCCTGAGCATAGCCAACATGGAAGGCTTTGTGGTGGAGTTCTTGCCCACGTGACGTATTTTCTTTAACTCAGCAATGCGTGTAATAAAAGTTGCACAAAGAAGGTACGCTGCGTGGCCCTTGAATAACATGGATTGACAGACCCTTAAAGGTTATCTGTTAAAGTTCATGTGGTTAAACCTGCCTGATGGATATGCCGAGCTCAGATTCAAACACCAGGCCGGAAGCTTCTGTGCTAGTTGATGTCCAATGATTGTATTTACCCCTGGTTAAAGCACCAGGGGGCATTAAGAAAAGGCCTAAGACGGAAGCCTCAATCACCAGCCCATTCCCACCGATGTCAGAAGAGCTCAGAATGCAACACTTTCCTGGGTGAACACTTGATTCTTAACAGTGGTGTAACGGCATTTCAGAATTGACAAATGTGTCAGCTCAGGTAGATCATCTATCCAATACACCTTCTCCCTCCGCAGGAGGACCGTGGCAAAGAGACTTGCCCACAGACACCTAGCAAGTGACCTGATACCAGAGGCAGAGCTGGAGACCAGGGCCAGAATTTCTAGGCCAGCCTGCTCTCCGGGGCCCTGTGCTTTTTGTAAAGCGCTGCCTTCTGTCTCTGATCTTCACAGTAACCCACCGAGCGCTGAAAGCCATTTGCTGAGTTGTCACTTTCTTCAGAGACCAGATCAAGCCCCCACTATGCTTTAGAGCTAGATGTCACTTTCAAGGCCTGTAATTACTTGCTGGGAGAATACTGTTATTTCACTAAGCATGCCAAGAATGATCAATTCCCCGAATGCTTTTCAATAAGAACACAATCCCAGGAACCATAGATTGATACATGCATGTACCCACTGTCATAGAGGTTATTCCAAATCATAGTGACCCTGTAAGACAGAGTAGAATTGCACCTTAGGATTGATTGAGAATGTAAACCTTAATGAGGGCAGATAGCCTCACCTTTCTCCCAAGGAGCAGTTGGTGAATTTGAACCACTGGCCTTGCAGTTAGCAGCCCAATGCTTAAACCACTGGCTCTTTTAGGTTGGCATACTATAAGAAACCACATAAAACTTTTATTTCATGGGTGCATTTCCCTAGGTAGCAAGAGGGCATTTGGTAAAACCCAACATTGTTTAATTTTTCAAAAGGCTTTGAAAAGTAATATGGGAGAGAATGATCTCTTCTATTATTCTTAAGTTACATATTTATCTTCCACCTCATTCCCTCAGCCTGGGCTACATGCCACCTAATGAAGAAATATTTACGTGTGAAAGGAGAGTAGAAAGCCATGGTGCTCTCTCGCAGGCCCTTTGTGCATGTGCCCCTAGGGCCTCCAAGGGGAAGAGTTGGCTGGCCCAGGAGAGGGGCACTGCTCTTTTAAGCAGAGCGGCCGATGTGGGAGCACAAGATGGCCTGATTGCCCTCCACCCCCCATAGTCAAAGCCTATAGCAGGTCAGCCGGCTTGGGAGGGGCAGGGGGAATGGACTCCACCCTAGTCCCAGCATGGGAACCCCTGTGGACACCCCTCACTGCCTCTGCCAGGTAAGGCTAGCACTCCCAACCTCCCGCAGCAGGCTGCAGCCCAGCATGCTCGTGAATGCTCTGGATGTAGCCCCTGGCTCACCTCACCTTCCATGCCCGGGCATCGGGAGGCAAGAGGCTCCTGTCTGAGCCAGGGGGTGATTTGCCAGGCGGTGTAATTGTGTGGAACTCATCCTCCCTGAAACCCCAGCTTCCCGCCAGTCTCTCAGGTGCGGGTTGGGGGGCTGTCTCCTTCCCACCCAGAGGGTGCAGGAGGTGGTTCCATGAGGCCCCTCCCACCCCTGGCCCCACCCCCGGGTCCCCATTCCCCAGCACCTTGTTCCTCCGTTGCTTTTGTTGGCGGTTTCCCAGGACCCTGGGCCCGGTAATTCGGTAATTCACTGCCCGTTTTATGTAATTTTGTGGCAGAAACTTTTAGCGGACCAGAGACGACTTAAACGCGAGCAAGAAGAGGCCGATATCGCTGCTCGGCGCCACACGGGCGTCATCCCGACACACCATCAGTTTATCACTAATGAGCGCTTTGGGGACCTCCTCAATATAGACGATACGGCAAAAAGGAAATCTGGGTCAGAGGTCTGTTTTGGTCGCCTCGATCTGCTGCTTGGCCCAAAGCGATCATTGCTTGCCCCGCAGCATTGCCCCGCTGTAGGCCAAAGTAGTTCCCCAGACGGTGTCGCTCATCCGGGCTGCACGTAGGCTTGCTTTGGCTCCTTCGTGGCTGGTACCAGGATGTGAGCCTCCCATCATGCCCTGTGCTGCGTATGTTCTAGCATGCCTGGCTGCGGGGCCCGGGGCCTGCTGGTGCACCCCTCACTCATGCATGTCTTCAGCGTGTCGGCCGCCTTCATGAGTCCTCTACATCCCGCATTTCCCCACCAATGCTGTTCCGCCTGTGCATTCTGCCTAGAGTCCGTAGTTCATACGCATTCGTAGCTTGTGCTAGAGACACATAAAACGATACCCTTTTGAAGCGATGGTGTAGGAGCTCCCTTAGAGTCCAGCAGTTAGCTAGTCCCGCTTTCTTGATGCCATTTACAAAGGCCATTCCTGTTGGAGTGGCAGGGAACAAACAGCCCTGCTGCTCCCATGTGGGTGAGTTACTCTGTCCAGTGTCGGGAAGGCTGAAGCACCTCACTGTAGGGTTCAGAAACGTCTGTCCGTTCCGATGAGCCTGCAGGACATAAGGAAAGGTCCTGAGATGTGGCATCTGTTCCCTGAGTGCTGACATTGCTAACCCAGCTTACAACAGCTGAATAAAGGGAACAGAGGGAGGCGGGACCTCTGAAGCCTCTTGGCCCCCTGCCCGAATGTTGAAATTCTCGTGCGGGTCAAGTGCAGCATCTTGCGTATCTTCCGATGGGGGGGTTTGTTTGTTTGTTTTTTGCCACATGACCCTTCAAGAGCCCTACCAAGAATGATCTTCTCTGAGAGTTGTGTATGGGGCGCTTGGGATAAGAGGGGAGTCAGAGAGAAAGGTGCCCAAAGTCAGCTTTTGTAACCTTCCAGTTTTAGAATTGATTAACACTGATGCTTGTCTCGTCAATACTGGAGTCAAAGCATGGCTTTTGAAAAAGGAGAAAGTGTTGGAAGAGAGAAGAAAGCGAGAACTAGATAAATGAAGGAATTTGGGGTGGGTGGGAGAGGGGACCAAAAACCAAACTCACTTCCGTGGAGTTGATGCCGGTGCATAGCGACCCTATAGGACGGGGTAGAACTGCCCCTGTGAGTTTCCGTGCTCTTAACTCTCACGGGAGTAGAAAGCCCTCTCTTCCTCCCACAGAGTGGCTGGGGGGTTTCCAACTGCTGGCAGCAAGGTCAGATCCACTACCCCACCAGGACTCCCTGGCAAGAGGGGAAGGAGACTCTCCAGTGCCAGGGAGAAACTAACAGGGAAGAGGTAAAAGCCAGTCCTGTGTTACTTACATGCCAGGGAAGGACGGCCCTCGGCGTGCCGGCTCCTCACAGCAGTCCAGTTCTGAAGGCTCTGCTGAGGGCCTGTCCACATTCAGGCCTAAGCATTGGTGACTGATGAAGGAGGTGGGGACTTGCAAAGGCCACCTAGATATACATGCAAATGAAGACGCGACTGCTGGAGTAACCAGGGCCAGAGGCACACTGCCTAATCCATCCTACAGCTCACAGCCTGCAGCAGTGGTTCTCAGAGTGAGCTAGCATCCAAGGACTTGCTGAAATACAGGTAGCCGAATGTTAGGGTAGGACCTGAACCTGTCCATTTCTAAGAAGTTTCCGTTTGATGCTGACAATGCCCCTGACCAGTAGAGACTGACAAGCCCCTGGGGCACCGTATAGGTGGACTTCAATAGAACTGGTTGACCCTAAGACCCTGAGGGGAGACAGAATGAGACTCAGAGCCTGCCCTCGGGAGCTGCTAGTTTTATAAGAGAAGCACCCTGTTGTGAGAGGAGAGAAAAATGAAATGGGCCTTGGGAAGAATTAAGATAAGAAGGGAAATCAAGCTTTGCTCCATTAGTAAGGACCCACGGATTTCCTAAGAATTCAGTGGAGTCCGTGTTTGTGACCTTGAGTTATGTATAGATTGCCTGTAATACACAAGTGATAGTAATCTTACCAACTCTTAGTTGATCGAGCCAAGCCAATTTACAGGTTAAACACTGAACAAGCTCACCTGCATAGTTTATTAGTTTAACTGATGATTGATGCTGTTTTGCTCGGCTCGATGATAGCTCTAGGTTGTGAGCGTGACGCTGTGTCGATATAGATTCCCGACACTTCTCACAGCTCTGAGTGGTGACTTCTTTCTCCCACTGCATTTATCTATTGGCATCGCTGAGAAAGTCGTCCTTACTGTGCACCCACTAGGTCACTTGGCCTTGTCTGTGAACTTGCCATTTATCATTAACCCCACATTCATTCTTGACTCATTGACCTGCAACTGTTAAACTATGCTAGTTGATCACAAATGCAGATATTGAAATAGGTATTGGCAATAAATTGATTATACGGTGGCTCATTCAATTGACCGTTAACGTGTACATGTACTTAAAATAAAAACCAACACTGCTATCGAGTAATTCCAGCTCATAAATGACCCTATAGGACAGAGTAGAACTGCCCCTGTGGGTCTCCAGGGCTGTAACTTTTTACGGGAGCAGAAAGTCTTGTTTTAATGTAGAAAGCATTGTACTTACATAGATTAAAACACTCACTGCTGTTAACTCATAGAGACCTTGGATGACAGAGCTGGCCCTGTGGGTTTCCAAAGCTGTAGATCTTTACAGAGTGGAAAGCCTCATTTTTTTCTCCCTTGGAGTGGCTACTTGTTTTGAACTGCTGACGTTGCAGTTAGCCGCCATAACCCACAAAGCCACCAGGGCTACGTATGTCGTGAGATGGGTGGAAATATCAAAGTAAAAGGCAAAAGCAAAAACAAAAGTAAATTCCTGTGGCAAAGTCACTGCCGTGAAGCAGATCCCTCTAGGACCCCCGCGGAAGGAGCCCGGACATGTGAGTGAGGCATGGTACAGAGCGATTAGGATCTGAAACTAAGGTTGATTCGGCTTTTAGAGGACTGTATTCTCTCATGTAGCATCCTTGAATTTTTTTCCCCTGCCACTTTGTTCACCCTCTCCAATATCGAGGAGGAACTGCATAATTTAGATGTCATTGTGTTGGTTCTCCAGACCAGAAAGCCATAGCCATTTAAGTTGGAAGACCACTGTGCTGAAAGGAAGCTTTGGTCCGCAAGCAGCACCAGATGTTAGCCATCCTGCTTTTTAGGAACTGCTCAGGAGGGAGAGAGAGTGATACGTTCTACTGGTCACCAGAAATAGCTTGACATAGGATTCCTCCCTCCTACTTTCCTCTCACTTAACAAAATAAAAGATGAGGAAGAAATGTAAATTATGGTATGGTAAGTAAAGGCACACTTCTTGAGGGACTGGGTACTGAAAGTCCAGAAGGGTGAGAAGAGGTATAGCCAATCGCTTCGCCTGATTCCACCAGGCAGAGGACCTGGGTGTAAGAAGAGAGCAAGACAGTGAGGTCAGGGTAGGAGGTGGGTGCTCAAAGGCTTAACCCAGTCAGAATGGAGATTCCTTCCAGAGAGGCAGTTGAGTGCCTCTGGACTTCAAAGCAAGCAAGTCATGTGATGCGAATATTTGAGGAATGTTCTTTGTGGTCCTGAGTGACAGTGGATCAGAGTGAAGGAAATGGGGGGTGAAAGGAAGCTTTGTGCCTGGGGGAACCAGAGGTCAAACCTGAGCAGGTCCGGAGCGATGGAGGGAGGGTTGGTATGACTTGATGCTCGACTTGGTGAGGACGTGGAGACTGAGACTGAGAAGGATTTCTAAGCCTGAGGTCTGGAAGGGGGTGGGGGAGCAGCCCCCATCAGGAATGGGAATAACTTGGCAAGGTGTGGGTCTGTTTAAGATGACTTCGTGGACCACGAGAAACAAGTGGAAGAGTTAGGTGAGACGAGGTTGCTTCTGCTGCAGGTCATGATGTAAGTCAAGCATATGGAAGATGTCCCCGAAGAGTAAGACCATCGATAAGGAACCTCCCAGGACTTCGGCTTTACCTTGTTTTGATCCCCCAGCAGGTCAGGGTCAGCTTTAGGGCTTTTCTCACCATCTCCTTCCTCCCAAATCTGGCCCTGCTTTGGGACCTGCTCATGCCCGGCATAGTTGACAGAATGTCCATCCAGTGCTGTGCAGTCAGGCAGCTGGATTCTGCCCAGGCTTCTACACCAGAACAAAAGGGTTAGGAATGAATGTTCATGCTTTGCTTTCAAGAAACTTGTGAAAACACGTCTTTTTCCTTGCAGATGAGCCGTGACTTTAACCTCTCCTGTTTTCTTGTGTTTAGATGAGACCTGCCAGAGCCAAATTTGACTTTAAAGCACAGACACTAAAGTAAGTGCCTTGTCATTTTGATTTGTTGTCTTAACTGCCTCTTTGAAACAGCAGTTCACTTTTAGAGGAGAATCGGGAGAAAAGTGGTAAAAAGTCAATGTTTGAATAACGCTGACCACGGTACAAGCATTGATCAGAGTCCGTACCTTGTTCACCCCTCATCACAAGTTACCTTCACTATAACCTCCCCTGGGGGATGGGTACTATTATAATCCCCTCTGTACAGCTAGAAACTGATGAACTGGCTCAGGAACCAAACAATAAAAGGCTCTGCTTCGTGTGGAACGACAATGTGAAGTTCAAAATCATCAAAAAAGACCAGACTTTCTGGGCTGATACAGACTGGAGACTCTCAACCTTGGACACCCTTTGAACCTGCAACTGAAGCCACTTCCAGAGGTCACCTTGCAGCCCAAGACTAGATTTGAATCCTATAAAATACACAGTAATACCTACGAGAGAATGTGGTCCTTAGAATCATGAAATACATTGGACCAAATGGACAGCATCTTTCCCAAAGTGAAGATGAGAAGGCAATAAGGGAGGGTCAGGAAACGAAGGGGCAAAAACAGGGACAGCGTGGTGAAGATGGGGACCCAGCACAGGGGCAGCAACCGATGTCAACAACTTGCATAGAGACGATTGCACAGGAAATGAACTTGCTTTATAAACGTTCACGGAAATCCCAGTAAGATGTTCTCAAAGGAACTTTCCCAGACAGGTAAGTAAAGCATGAGGCCAGAGCCTGTGCTCTTCCCCCACTGGGCCTTCTCCTGTGTAGGGGCTCCCATTGCTCGATTGAGGAGTGACTTGATGTGCCAAGCCCTTTCTAGGGAAGGAAGCAGCATCATTTTCCAGGAAGATTATTTGACCGCCTCTGCTAAGACAGCCAGGAGGTAGCAGGCTTGTGGAAATCCACAAGAAAGGGACTAACTTTTCTCCAAGCAGTTTCCCCAGAGCGCTGGAAGATGTTTCTCCAAAACAGTGGTTCATCAGGAAAAGACTTTGGAAACCACTACATATTACTATATATCCCACCCCACCCCACCTAACCCCTTGAAGGGAGCCCAAGCAACTTTGGTCCTGGGAATCCTCCAACATGAATGGTCAGACCATGATTGCTAGAACCCAAGGACAAATTGGTGCACTTAGCTGTGTTTGCCGTTACTCCAACTCTTTGAAGCATCAGCTTCGGAAGAGATGGCAGTTTCATATAAGGGAAAGATCATGGGCTTTTCCCTTAAATATAAGGGAAAGAAAGTCCTGGGTTCAAATCCTGATTATGCCACCACGTAGGGTCTTTGTGACGGTGGACAAGTTACCCAATGTTTCCTGCTCTATTTCCTCATCTGTGTGATGTGGATAAAAATGTTTCTCTTACATGTCAGTTAAGGGTACAAGTGACATCATTCATCACCAGTAAAATATTTTGCACAGTAAAGCAGAATGAATACTCAAAATAGGCTATCTTCCCCCATCCTTTCTTTTAACTAGTGGGAAGATAGCAGAGATAGGTCTTTTTCCTATTTAATCCAATTGGTACTTTTCCCCCTTTGCATTGGGAACGTTCTGTGTGGGATTCATTGAGAGGTGTGGTAATGGTACTGCATCTGCCTTGATCTCCTTTGTAAAGGCTGGAAAAGGCTGGATTGTTTCCTTAAGGACAATCCCGTCCGCTAGAACCAGGTGAGAAGCTGGACTCCACGCACACGGTAACCATTATCAACGTAGTTGATCCTAGAGAGAGCCCTCCAACTTGGGCTTTACATCATATCATGCTACCTTAAAAAAAAAAAAAAAGATAATGACACAAAACCATTTAAAGACTAAATGCCAGAGCCATCGACTGCGTCTTTGAAACCGCTTCATGGTCTCTTGGTTCTACGCTTCCTCGTGTGACTCCAAAGAGTGTGCGCAGAGAACTACTGGGAGTCGACAGGTTTCTTTCCCATGGGACTTCATCGTGCGGTTCTGTGGGAGATGGGGTGGGGGACCCGTGGCAGGAAGGATGACAGCCCCAGGGGCCGGTGGTATAACTCTGATTATGACGACAGACCTCTTTGCACTTGTCGGTCACCCTCACAGTTGCCCTTGCCCTTGCCCTCCCTTGCCTAACAGAAGCCATCCGAGCCCCCACGGCCCTCTCTAGCTGAGTCCCTTAGGCGGCAGGCTTAGAAGCCTGTTCATCTCCAGTGCATAGTGATAGGCTGACGGCTGACTCCTCCGTGTGCTCCTGACGGGGCCAAGGAGAAGGGATTCTGAACACCCCCAGGGCGAGGGCTCTGTGAGAATGTGGCCAAAGATATTCCCATTCCCTTCTTCCAAAGGCAAGTATATCCCCCTTCCCAGGCTGAGTTAGGGTCAGAATCCTGCCTATCAGCGCAGCACCCACAAAGGCCGCCTTGCTCTTGCAAGCCACGCGGTGCTGATTCTGTGTAAAGATTTCCAGATGTGCCCCATTGTTTAGCCAGCATCCTCACATACCGTGGGACTTCCTGGCACACTGCAAAGCAGGCACGCCCCCTCCAAATTACAATTGGGCCCCGTGTTCTTGGTTTGATGCAAATGGCAGGGGTGGAATCGAGGTCTTTTTTTTTTTCCTAATTATAAACTATTTCAAATTTTCTGCTCTCCTTTTAAGTGTTCATTTTATTCATAATGGATCTTTTGATTGTGCTTTTTAAAAAGGAGCCCTAGTTAGATGCTGCCATCAAGATTGGAATGAGCAAACGGGTGGATATGGACTAACAGTTAGCGATCTGAAGGAAAATCCACTTTTGTTTCCAAGATCCCTTTCCCATGTCGAAAAGGAATTAACATTCACTCGGGCAGCAGGTGTTTGCATTCTCCCAACAACCCTGATTTTAGATCAAGAGAAAGCAAGTTTTGGAAATGTTCAGTATCTGTCCAAGTTCATGGTAGAACTGGGTTCTGAACTGAGATCCATCTACTTCAGAGCTATTCGGCATGATAGGTAGATGATGAGTGGTAAAGTGATTGATTGGATGGGGTCACTTGAATGGGCAGCCTCATAGGCTACCGAATGATACCATGTGATTTGAGGGTAATGTAAATGGAGGTGTGGCTTACAAGGCTAGCAAAGAGGGTCAGGAAGGCAGATGTCTGAGGAAGAGTTTTTTTTAATCATTTAGTATCAGTGGAGACCACTGGATACATCACTTTCTCTCGGTTGAATAATCTGAGCATCAGACAGCTGTCATGCTGTAAGATATGTCGAGAAACGCACAGCAGATCCCAACCAGTGAGGCCTCTGAACTCTTGCGATTGCCCTTCAATTGCAATGCTATCCTCCGTCCCTTAAAAGCCTGGAAAAACACCAAGTGTGGGGTCATCTGCTCCGGAGTGGAGTTCTCCCATATATGGGGCCTGCTCCCCTGTCCTCTGTCCCCTTGGGCCTTGCTTGGAGTACTCTCCTTTTGCTAAAATACTGAAGTGTCCTCATCGTGCACGCCCTGAAAGAGCCCTCTGCTCAAGCTCCACGGCCCCTCTGTGTTGACAGGGAGCTTCCGCTGCAGAAGGGGGACATCGTTTACATCTACAAGCAGATTGACCAGAACTGGTACGAAGGCGAGCACCATGGCCGGGTGGGCATCTTCCCACGCACCTACATCGAGGTACCCTGGCTCTTTCTCTCTCTAAGGAGATGCCCAGCCTGACTCAGAGCGCTGTTGATTAACCCAGGCATGTTGTGTTTTATTTCCGCGTTTTTTCTCTCTCCCTTTTCTCTCTCCTCCTCCTCCTCTTCTGCCTCCTTTCGGCTCTCAGCTTCTCCCTCCTGCTGAGAAAGCTCAGCCCAAGAAGTTGACACCGGTGCAGATTTTGGAATATGGCGAAGCTCTTGCTAAGTTTAACTTTAACGGCGATACCCAAGTGGAAATGTCCTTCAGAAAGGTAAGCCGCCCTCCTCACCAGGTGCTTTGGGCTCCAGCGGGTACCGCTGTTGTGGGCAGTGTGATGGGCCTGGTCTGGTGGGCCAGCGTGACAGTGCCATCTGTACCCCTTAGAGACGTGTGCCAATCATGTTTGAGTTCAGGGAAGTGGAGAATTTTCTGAGCTTAGGTATGTTGTCAACATAAGCCACGGTCAGGGATCAGGTTTTCGACTGCAGTGTTCAAGTTCAGTATGTCAAGAGCCTGAGACTGTTGTCAGAGCATGCTGGAAGGTGAACCCTGTCTATGAGGAAGCATCCAAAATACACCGTGGGTCCAGCAAATGGACTCAAGCACATGGCAACCAGCAACAAGTATAGCCAATGCCCAACCCACCTTGACTGAGTACCTGATGATAGGATCAGCTCTGGGATAGGACAGGTTTACAGCATGTTGACAAGGCAAGTTAATTTTTGTTTTTTGTTGTTGTTTTTTTCCCAGAGCAGGAGCCAAATCTTAAAAACTCTTAAGGCCCAAAGTCACAGGTCACCCGCCTGTGTCGCGTTTGAGGCATAATGTAATCTTTCCAGGCCACGATTTGCTCTTACCTAACAGGAAGATAAACAGCCCCCTTGGTAGAATTGTAGGTGGGCAGAATGAGGCAGATAGTGGAAAGCCCCCTGGCATGACAGACTCAGGAAGCAGACATGTCAGTCTTTCTAAGCCCCCCTCCCCCCAGCGTCACCTTCCAGTAACCCCGGCATGTTGTTTGAGCTCTGGCAAGAGACTACTTCCTACCTCAGCATTCAGAGGCTGTGCCTGCCCCAGGCTCGCCTCACAACAAGCTTCAAGCTGCTCGTTTTGTGGAGCGTGCGGAAAGCGGGCTGTGCCTACCAAAGAGGTGAGCTGCCTTCAGCGCGCCTCTGCTGGTGCGGCGTGAGCTCACGGGCACTTGGCTCCGCACCACCTTCACAAATGCAGAAGCGTGTCTTTTGTAAGGAAGGCCGTTCGCTGGATGGTACGGAGTTGGTTTTTTTTTAAAGAAGAGTGTTCAAAAGTGAAATGCGATTGTACTGTTTTTCCTCCAAGAACAATGTGACACATCACACACATGCTGAGAAAGCAGTCTGGGAAGAACGTGTACCAACGTGCTAGCGGCTGTCCCCCAGGAGGTGGTCTCCTGGCCCATTATGATGTCTTCTGTCAGTTCACGGGGGTTCTAATTTTTCTATAACAATACCTGAACTGGGAGCATTATAAAAAGAAAGAAAAGATACCCCCCTCCCCCAAAAAAACACCTTTGAGAGATGTGTAACTAGCTAGTGAGTTAGCTACTGGCTGGCTCTAGTAGATCAGACCTGTTGCTAATACATATATCTGAAGCCCTCCATTTGTGTTCAAGCTGGAGGTGCTGCGTCTGACCATCCCCTCCTGCGATGTTTAAAGACAGCATCCCTGGCGGGGTCCAGCCACCTCTAGTGGCCCTCCTGCTGTTCGCACCCTCCTCGCAATGACGTTCCCCCAGGCAGCTGCAGCAAGGGACATTTTCCTGTGAGCCAAGAATGTGATAAATAACCCTGAGCACCCATGAGGCAGGCCGGGCCGCTGGCTGCCAAGGTATTTACAGTGTGTGACAAGGGGTCTTCCCTTGCTGTGTCTTGCAGGGGGAGAGGATCACACTGCTCCGCCAGGTGGATGAGAACTGGTATGAAGGGCGGATCCCAGGAACGTCCCGACAGGGCATCTTCCCCATCACCTATGTGGACGTGATCAAACGGCCACTGGTGAAACCCCCCATGGACTACATTGACCTGCCTTTCTCCTCCTCCCCAAGTCGTAGTGCCACTGCAAGCCCACAGGTACCGAGCTTCCAGTGTGCGCACTCAGTGCGACAGCCCACCCGCGCTGATGGCACTGTGATTGGGATCTGCCTGCCGCAGGCAGGGTGCTTACTGGGTGTGTTGCCTTGGGTACAAATGGCATTTGCCACGCTCTTGTTGGGGGAGAGGTGATCTTGGGGAAGGAAAGTGATCGGGAGACAAAGTGGCAAGTGACAGGAGCCTCTCTTAATCAGTTGGTCCAAAGCTCAGTGTTCCAAGCCCCCCCCCCATTGCCGAGAGCTGGGGCTGCATCTTGAGAACGATGCCCTGGCACAGTGCTCTTAGTCCCCAGGTCTGCCAGGCTTCCCCTCTTCATTCCCAAATATGGGGAAAGCACCAGGGTACCCTTTGCATGCTTTCCCTGGCATGAGGCTGGGATCGAACTTATAACATCTCTGGCAGGCCGACCTGAAAGGAATTAGGTATATGGATGAGATAAGATGTTGGCCTAACTGGACATGAATTGTGAGTTAGCTCGCTTGAAAGTGTAAGCTATGCCAAGTCCCACCCTCACACTCCCAAAGCCAGGGAAGCTGGGGTTCCACAGGGGCATGTGGGAGTGCCATCTGACGGAATAGGCTGAAGGCACAGGGTAGATTGTAAGGCGAGCACCCGGACCCTGGGACCCGAGATGACACTTAGAAGGTGCCTCGTTTTTCTCACTCTAATCATTTCCTCCTCTCCCACCTGCTCATTGCTGACCCCAAGAACAAGCCCCATATCCTTCCCTCCCACCCACCTGTTCATCACCGACCTCTGCCAGCAAGACCACGTCCTGGGATCGCACAGGGTGGGTGGTGATATTGGAGCAGGGCGTTCTGCTTTGTGATAATTTGGGCAATCAGCTGAATTTGTTGCTCAACCAGAGCCAGGCATGATTGTAAAACCAGATGACTACGTGTGTTAGTCCGGGGTGACTAGAGAAACAAATTCATAGACACTCATATGTGTATAAGAAAGAGCTTCATATACAAGGACAATTGAATTATTGAGAAAACATCCCAGCCCAGTCCAGATCAAGTCCTTAGGTCTGATGTTAGCCCATATGTCTGATAAAGTCCTCTTCAGATTCATGAAACATATGCAATGATGCTGAGTGCAGGAAGATCACAGGCCAGTGGGCGGGAAGTATTGTGGATGCAGTGGTGTAAGCATCTCAGCATCGGCAGGGGTCTCCATGTGGCTTCTCCAGCTCAGGGCACTAGCATAACAACATGTGTCTTCTCAGCTGCAATGTCTCCCAGGGAGTGAGTAGTGAGAAAGAGTATCTCCCGCCTCCAAGGAGGAATACAGAAGTTCCCAGAATCCTCAGGAGAAGGCCATGTCCACACAGAGGCCTCATTGGCTGTGACCTGATTGGCAGGCTAGACTCTACCCCTTCACTCTTAATCCTCTCAAGTTGACAAATGATTATATAACTACTGCAGTACACAAGTCAGAATCACTTCTGAAAGACTCCTTGGTGCACCCCTTAGAATAAAGGCCTAAGGAGGAACCAGAGAGATGAACTACCTTTTTTTATTTTCTCTTTTTTTTTTTGCCTGTGGTTCTTGGGACAGGGCTTGGGTGGCAGAGGTGACTTGGGTGGAGAGTGAGAAGGTTGGACATCTGATTCTTCAACCGGGCAGGTGCCCTGTGTAACCACTTTTCGGGGACCCTTTCTCCCCACCGCTGGCTTCTCCCATCCTCCCCCGGACAGCACACGCTCTCAGCACACATGTGCGTGCTCTTGGCCACGCACCCACCACCCAGCTCCTCCTCTAGAACTAACTGAATGATGTCCTCTTTGGACACCGGCGTGTCCGGTTTCATCTTCTCCATTCCATCCCTCGTTATGACCACCCCACCCCCACCCCGTGGTGAGTGTTTGGACTTCTTGCTGCCTCCGGCTGACATTTGTATCTTCTGCTGCTTTATCTCTTGTTTTCTCTCTCCTTTTTAAGTTCCCCCAGCGCAGCAAGCTCATCAGGCCAGCCCTCCCACCTCCGCCCACCCCTTGCCGAACCGTGTCCCCTGAGATGCGTGCTATCACCTCCGAGTGGATCTCGCTGACTGTGGGGGTCCCCGGCTGGCGTCCCCTGACCCTGACCCCACCCCTGCCTCCTCTGCCAGAGGCATCTCTCTATAACACCGACCCCCTCGCCTTGTCGAGGAGGGCCATTCCCTCCCTGCCCCTCAGCCTCCCTCCCTCTGGTTGGTCAGATCGGTCTACCCCCTACTTGGGAGTTTCCCCACTGGCCCTGCCTCAGCCCCACCAACGCTACACCCCGGCACCCAGTGCTCAGGCCTCCCTTCACGTCAACGGGGACAGTGGTATCCACTTAGCGCCTTCAGGTGTCCGCCAGGATAGCTTCTCCCAGCCACTCTTTGGAAGTTCTGAGAAGGTCATCTCGGAGCTTAGTGATGCCTTTAGCAACCAGAGCAGGTGGCAGCAATGGAAGGACGAGAGCAGACAGCTCGAGAGGCAAGCAGAGAAGGAGGCAGGTGAGAGATGCCCTGGCGGACCCAAGATCTCTCAGAAGAACTGCTTGAGACCGTCAGATGTGGTCAGGTGCCTGGGCACTGAACAGAGACTCTCAGAGTTCCACCCCTCTGAGGAAGGCCGGCCCCGCAAGTCCCTGGGTAGCCTCTCTCCCGGAAGGGAGGCTGAGCACACAGAGCTGCATAGAGGTGGCGAGCAGGCCGAAAGGAAAGCTGCTTTGAGTGGTGTGAGCCAGGTAGGCCTGCCGCATGCCGTGTGTGCCCTCGGCTGTGCATTGGACAGGGTGGCTGGGTACCCACCCTGATCCCCGCACTGAAGCCAAGTGGGTGTGGATGAGACTCATTTATGTACCCAGTGGGGAGCGGAGGGGTATTGAGTCAGGTGTCAGGGCTGGGCCCAAGTGGAGCCAGTGTAGGCTGAATCCTGGCCTCTTGAGGAGACCCAGAAGAGACTCCTGTGTCGGGTACCTCTAGGCCCGGCTCAACAGCCTTCGTCATGCCCTATCTGGGTCTTTGAGATTAGCCTTGGTTTGCTCTAACCCAGCTGAGACCACCAGGCTTTTGTGTGGCGTGCTGTGGCGTGCGATGCACTGTTTGCGTAACCCACGTTGTGCTTCTAGTGCTCAGCTCCGTCAGGTCGTCCTGTTGTCCCATGTTTGTGTGGGGAGCTGGGGCCTGTGTTTGTGGTGATCAGTGTGATGTCGTTATGGGTTGGGGTGTGCAGGCCCGGCTCCCTGGGGCCCTGGTAGGCATGGGGTCAGCCAGTGGGGCTGCCAGGTTTTGAAAGGGTGTGCCCCATTTTCTCTCTGGGAGACCCTGATTTTAGAGTTTGGATCGGGGTGGCTTTAGGATTTTCCGCGGGCTGGAAAGTTGCGGAGGAAAGGGACTTGGCCATTGGAATCAGGCCGTCTCATCTTGGCCGTGTGGTTTAGTGCCACGCTGACTTCGGGCAGCCCCCCCAAAGCCCAGTATGCGCTCTGGTTAGGAGTGTGTGCTGGGTGTGCAGTTGGAGAGAACTGGGTTGGAATGCTTGTTCCACCTCTTACTAGCTGGGAACTTGGGAGTATTTCCTCCTCTGAGCCTCAGTTTCCTCACCTGTGAAATGGAGATATAGCAAACTCCTTCATGGACTGGTTGCGAAGGTTCCTTGAAATAATTTGTGAAGTGCTATGCACAGGCCTGGAACATGCTCATCCCTGTATAAATAGGAGCTAAAGAGCCACCCTCGTGGGCGAGGTAGTGCTACTTCTGGAACATGGTAGAACACTCTAGAACCTCTGTAGAGCCAAATGGCATCCCTAATGTCATTTCCGAACCACTTATTGAGTGTCTGGTAATGTATGCACATAGCACACCATGTTTACTTCTCAGATCTGCAGTCCCGGCTTCCCTTTGGAGCGTTACGGATTCACTCAACAAGCCTGCGGTCACCAGCTGCTGGCCAGGGGACAAGAGTCCCCCGTCCCAGCCTTGGAGGCGTTGTATCCATGTAGACTGGCAGGCATGGCAGTGTCACAAGGGCAGAGACAGAGAAATGCTTGGAGGCCACAGGAGCACAAAGGGCAAAGTACACAGACAAGGCTCCAGCTCCAGCCTAACCCACGCAGCCCACTGGTCAGTGTGTCAGGAGTGGAGGCCCCATGGGAGGAGGGCAGTATGCGGAGGGATAAGAGACCAACTTTGCCTCTTACGAGCAAGCAACTAGCCTTCCTGAGCAACACTCTTCTCGCCTGCAAAGCCCAGGGAGAAGCTGAGCCGCGTGCATTGTGCATTGGCTGATGCTAGAACTCAGTCAGCTGGTTGCATGTAAGGGCTTTAGAGCGACCCTCCTCCACACGTGGTGACTTGCCCCTTCTGCTGCTGCAGACTGTGGCCCCCAGAGAGATCGAAAATGCTGGGGAAGGCCCTGTGTAGCCTGGAAGCACTGCTCCCAGAGTGCATAAGATATGAGGGAGAAGAGGGCGTGTCTGGAGAAGGAAAGGCGAAGTGATTCTTGGAAAAGTGCAGTCTCTGACGCAGGGCGATTCTGTCAACGTTCTAAGGCAGACCACGGTGCCTGAGCATCTCCTTATGGCCAGGGGTGAGTCATCATGCAGTTCCAGGATCCAGCGTACACAGGAAGTGCGCACGGTGCCAGAGTTCCCCGTTGGGTGATGCATCTACACTTCCCACTTCCTATCAGAGATTACAAGAGGGAGTCACTCGCTGGCCACTCCAGGGATTATGCTCATTAGGAAGCCAGGCATGTGGAAAATTGGCTTTCTTTCCCAGGTGGGGATGGGCCAACAGACCCTAGCTATCCGGCTCCCTGCCTCTCCCTTCCTCTACTCTTCCAGCATAGTCCCTTCCCTACGAAGGTGTCTGGGCATCTCCCTGGGAGAGCAGAGGGCTATGCTAACGAGCTGCCACCCACACCCCTTCCTCTCACCTCCTGACTTTCCCCTCCTGGATCCAGAGCAGGACTCTAGGGGCAGCAGAGAGTAAACATAGGAAGGGCTTAAATGAAGAGTGTAGGCGTGACAGGACTTCAGGCCCTGTGACTTGGGTCAAAGCATTGCAGAGCAGTGTGTGTTGAGAAAACTGCCAACCAGCATTCTGCTTGCTGCCCGGTCACCCAGTTTTGGGAGACCTAGGCCAAGTACAAAGGGCTTCAAAATGTTTGTGGAAAATTCTCTTCTCTCTCCATTCCATTTTCCCACAAACTTTTATTTTTAATTGGCATATAATCCACAACTCATTCAATCTAATAGTTCAATCATGTTACGAGTTATGCAATCATCACCACAGTCAGTGTTAGAACATTTTCTTCTTCCCCATACTCTTTGTTGTTAGCTCCTTTCCACCCACCCTCCCCTGCCATGCCCCTAGGTAATGTTTAATCCAGTGATGGCGCCATAGAGTTACTTGCCTTACATTTCATTTATGGAAAACCCTACAAAACAAGAAAGAAACAAAATCAACAGCAATGATAAAGCAGAAAAACCTCAGTAAAAAACAAAAGCCGAAAATACTAAAAGCAAACAACTTTAAAAAGGGAGATCAAATGGAAACATGTTTTATTTTAACCTAACAACATCTGTCATAATCAGTTTTACAATGCTCTCTGACAGCAAGGCTTCTCACATCCCTGGACTGTGGGGCTACAGCCTGGACTGTGGCATCTAGCCTTGGTCAGAGGGAATTCACTGTAGGCTCAATTCATGGGCATCCCTGCAAATGGATTTGAGCCTTCCATGGTCATCCATAGCCTTCTGCAATCCAGGTGTTCAGCCTGTATGATCCAAGGATTGCAAATAAAATCCAAATCCGGAGGAGGGAACAGTATGCGCAAACTCTTTACCCGAGAGCCTTACACGAAAAGACTTACTGGAAAGTTAGGATTACTTACTCTCTCATTTGAGCATCTTGGGTGCACAGAGCACTGTGCTAAGAGCTGCAACAATGGAGGAGGATGAACATCAGTAGGGACTTCCCACTGCTCTCAGAAAGGCCTCTTTTCCTCCCCAGGGCCATGTGATCCCACCCTGGTCTATCTCACCAGCCCCGCTCCTTTATCTGGCTCACTCCCACCCATCCTGTACTTCTCCACTGAGCAGTTACGTTTTCCCAGAAAGCCTCCCCAGATGTTACTCCCCACCCACCTCAGCCACCAGCCTAGAGCAAGTGCCAAGACTTGGTGCTTCCACAGCCCCTGTCTGCACTTCTCAGCTGCACTGCACTTACCCCTAGGCTTGCCCAGGTCCCCAGGAGAGCTTTCTCTCCCTACAGTCAGGGACACCTGGTCCCTCTCCCTATAGTGAGGGACAACTGGTCCTTGAGGGCGGCGCTCAGGCCATGTTTGTCAGATGAAATCCGTGCACTCAGGAAGTTCGAGGTGAGGGGCGAGCCCAAGCAGCGGGAGGAGGAAGGTGTTCTTCTGGGAAAGACTTCATAGACAACAGGAGCATCTGATAGGGACCTCGGGAGTTTTGCAATGAACATACAGGGAGAGGGGGCATTCCAGTGCATGGAAAATGGTCACGTCCTCCTGGGGTGAAGCTGAGGGGTATCCACAGGGGACTAGGAGTGAGGAGTGTAGGGAAGAGGCTTGGGGGCAGGGGCTTAGGGAAGGGGCCTGTTGGCCCTGCCTCCTCCTCCAGTGCGTCAGCTACTCCCAACAACGAATCCGGTCATTGCCCTCCCTCCCCCTCAAGATGAGCCTTGAGAATCAGCTCTCTGAGTTCCCTGTGGGGTTCTCATCCCTGCTTCCCTGCCTCCCTTTCCGTTCACCATTCCCCTCCCAAACGCTGCAGACCTGTGTGAGTGCTTCCTCGTAAAATGTTTTGCCCTCTCCCTCCTTCCCCGTGGGCTGAGCAGGATTTCCGTTGAACCGTGGCAGGAGTGGAAGTGCAGGGATCACTAGGAAAGCCAGGGGAGTACGGTAAGAGCATGGACCCGAAAGCTGGGCTTCCCAGGTTCTAGCCCCAGCCCTGCCAGTGACCTGCTCTGTGTCTCTGTGTCTCTGGATGAATCACTTCCCTACCCTGGAGTCAGACAAGCTTCCACGGTCTATGATTAGGTGAGAACCCTGGGTGTTTCCCTTAAAAGGAGAAAGAAGAGCACACTCCAGATTGTACTTTGAGGTCGGGGGAGGGGGGTGGTATTGAAGACCTGCAGACATTCACATTTGAAGAATGAAAAAAAAAAAATCCCCCTTTTGTTTCCTTGAGGGACAATTTAATTTGACAAAACCACAAAAAAAAAAAAAACCCCACAAAGCACCTAAGAGCTGAAAATTCTCGATGGAGTTCTTAGATTTTTGTTGAGAATAATGTTGGCCACGAAGGCTTAGACCAGCACGCCAAAGGGAAGTCTGTTTTGAAGATCTCCGTCATTCGCATCATCAACGGTTTCCCGAGCCACCGCGACGGCCTGGCCCCTGCTGGCCGACCGCACATAGCCTTGGATTTTAAGAGAGCCTACAACTTGTGAGAGGGCCACCCTCGTAGAACTGCTCGTTTTAAAAGGGGCTCTAAAGGCTTTCCATGCCTTTTTATGGCTCAGGGAGTCTCCGATAGTCTCCAGGACTCCAGGCCAGTTTGGGGGGAAGGCTATGGGGGTGGTAGAGATGCCAAAACAGCTTTGCGTAAAGTTTTAGGCAGTTCACACTTGAGTCCACTCAAAGGAGTCCGCAGACCGGCATGTCCCAAGACGAATTTCATCAACTTTCGCAGTGCGATGAGAAAACTGAGGCCTT